TTTACTTTTTTCTTTTTCTTTCTTTTTATTAGCAGGGAGAGGTTTCTTTCCCACACCCACTCTTGTTTACTGCCAAGCTGGAAATACCCTATCTTCCTCAAGATCTCTTGGGTGTGGGAAATTAGTCACAGAAAGGTTACAAGAAATCAAATGGTTGGCACAGATTTTGTATGGGTCACGCTGCTAGACATGGGAACACCTCTCCCTCTTCCACAAGTTCTTCAGCAACTGATGCAGGTCTCATTAAAATTCATTTTAAGGAAAAGGCCATCCAGCTCAGATACATGAATCAGGCTACAGAAGAAAGTATGGTTGTGTGATCAGCTTCAATCATCCTGAGGAAGCTTTGCCATGTCCCCCAGGCTCCCCATACAGAAAAAGTCTGGCAGGGCACATGTGGGATGTATTCTGGACCTTCTGTGTATGGTGAAATAAGATAGGTCTTATTAGGCATTAGGGTGTCCAAGAGCTTTGAAATTCACTGAGCACCTTATAAAAGGAAGAGAGGATAAAAAGCTGTGACTTCTCTGGGTGGGAGAAAAAAAGAGGAAGCAAAGTAAAATTGGCAGATAGCCAATATCTCCATGTTTGCTTCTTGAGATTATTTTGAAGAATGTGATTTACAAATGTTTGCAAGGGAGTGACTAGATTGATGTCTGCTCAGGAAGCTGAATTAGTGGACTGTTAAAGAAAGTGAAATAAAGGTCTTCCTCCACATTTACCTTGCCAGGCTGAGCTCAAAGCACTAAAGCCATAGCACTAAACACTAGTGCAGCTCTCTGAAGACAGTGAAATTGAGGAAATTGTAGATAGTCATTCTAGGACAGTTATGGCTACTTGAATCATTGAAGTTATACCTCATGAGGAAGCCTTTTCTTAATCTCCTCTATGGGAATGGTGTTTTGTGGTGGCTTAAGACACAGGGTGAGATTCAGTTTAGCACCTTAGGTACCTAACTTGTACTTATATACTAGACACTTCAGTGAGGCAGTCCTTCCAAAGTATAAGGCTTATGTCTGGTCACAGAGAGAAGAAGGTTTTATAGAAGGCCTTCAGAGGCATATATTATTTGCCTCTGAAGTAAATGGACAAACTTTTGCTGTTGAGGACTTCTGAAGTACTGTATTTTTCCCCACTAAGGCAGAACCACTTATGATAGCTAGTCATACTCAGGACCACCACTTAAAGGCTTAAAATAGTAGAGCAAACTTACTGACCATACCTATCAAATAAAATGCCATCTTCTGGAGTCTATTTATCTCCATCTTGGCAATCTGGGTGAACCCTGTTCCATCCATTTAAACTAAGCAATTTGCTGTCATGACAATTATTTAAAATTTCAGGTTGGAATCAGGAGAAATTTCTTCTCAGAAAGTGTAGTTAGGCATTAGAACGGGTTGCCCAGGGAGGTGGTGGAGTCTCCTTCCCTGGGGGTGTTTAAGGAAAGGCCTGGACATGGTACTTAGGGTCATGGTTTAGTGGGTGATATTGGTTGATAGGGGATGGTTGGGCCAGATGATCTTGGAGGTTTTTTCCAACCTTGATTAATTCCATGACCTGTACCAATGGACGTATTGGGTTTGTTTGGGATGGAGTTAATTGTCTTCATAGTAGATTGTATAGTGCTATGTTTTGGATTGTGGAGAAACAGTGTTGATAACACACCTAGTGCAGAACAATGATTACACAGTCAAGGTTCTGTTTTCTACATTGCCTCACCAGCAGTTAGCAGGGGCTGCACAGGAAGCTGGGAGGGGACACAGCCAGGACTGCTGACCCAAAATGACCAAAGTAATATCCCATACCTTATGACATCATGTTAAGCAATAAAACTGAGGGGAAGAAGGAGGAAGGGAGGACGTTTGTCATTATGGTGTTTATCTTTCTAAGTAACTGTTACACATGATGAGCCCAGCTTTCCTGGAAATGGCTGAACATCTGTCAGCCCATGGGAAGCAGTGAATGAATTCCTTGTTTTTCTTTGCTTGTGCATGCAGCCTTGTTTTACTTATTAAGCTGTCTTCATGTCAACCCACAAATTTTATGCCTTTCACCTTTCTAGTTCTCTCCCCAGCCACCTGGGAGGGAGGTCTGGGTGGGGCTCAAATGCCTTCTGGGATTAACTCACAATAATAGAAATGTGCTCCAGAAGTTTATTACCTTTAAGAAGAAATTATTAGAGAAAAATAAAAAAAAAAAAGTTTTAAAAATATGTACTGGATAATTTTGGGATTCAACCTGTTGCTGATAACAAGTCTCTGTTAGGCAAAGTATTATTTCTCCAAACAAAGGTGTGAATATTTGCCTATGCTGTTATGCAAACAGAAGACTTAATGCCTATTCTGATTTTAACACAGGGTAGAACAAAAGGAAACAAACATCACATGATTCACAAAAGATATTTTTAGAATTGGAATGATTTGTATGGAGATACGAACTACTGAACTAGCTCTTCACATAGACACAAGGGAAAGCTTTATGCTAAAATCTGCCCTCCTCCCTCCCCCCTTTTCTATGAATAGTGAGGAAGTTGTGGCATTAAATGATAGTGATATAAGAGCTGTCCCTCAGTTACATAAGCTGGTGGAAAAACAGAAGAAAAACCTTCTTATCTTAATATTGACAGCTAAAGCATTATTATCACCATTAATAAACCCAGCTACGTTTCCAAACTGGTATCTCTTGAGAAATTCACGTTACTCAAAAATCCTTGTAGAACTAGGGAATTGCATTAGGTCCAGAGAACCTGTTACAATGATTGATTAAGCCTTCCTGTTTCATGACCCTAGAGAATTACCTACCTGGAATCATCTATATAATGAGTGACGAGCAAAGTTTATCTGTTTTTTTTTTTTTTCTTTTCTTTTTTTTTTTTTTTCTTTTTAGGGTAAGTAACTGATGCAAGAACAGTAATTTGTACTCCACCTGGAAAGCTCAAATTCACCAAACAAATCTGGCACCAGAACCAATTACTTCATTTTAACACAGATTCGGAAGCTTTTCATACTGTCTTTTTCAAAATTTGTCTCATCTCTTCTCTTTTGGGGTTTCCACTGTAGAATCACAGAAGATAAAGCTGGAAAAAGACTTATCATCTATTTTATCTCTTTGATTTTAGAAAATACAAGGGATATCACTACCTCCTTTGATTGCGTGTTTTGCCTTAATTCAGAATATTAGCTTAAACTGACAGAATTTCTGCATGTTCAGTCTAATCTACATTATCAAAAAAAAATTAAAATAAAATACCCAAACCCTACCATTCCACATTCCCTCCCCCCCCCCCCCCCCCCAAAAAAAAAAAAAAGACAGAATATCAACAACAAAAACTAAATACTAAATACATGTACACCTATGTCTTGACTACTGCAACAGTTCTGGTCACACATCTCAGACGGGATAGTAAAAAAGGAGAGATATATAGAGAGACACAAGTAGTTGGATAGATAGAAGAGGATAAACCAAGGTCTGGGTCAATTTCTGTATCACAGAGATTAGAGAGGAGACTATGTAAGAAAACACACGTCAAGGGGGATATGACAGAGCCTTTCTAACAAATGATCAACCTGAGTACAATTATTCACTGTTCCTTATAATCAAAGGAGCAAGGAGGCATCAAATGAAATTATTCTGTAGCAGGTTAAAACAAATAAGAGGGGTTAATAATTTACGCAGAACAGAGGTCTGCTGTAGAATTTATTTCTATGGGAAACTAGATGCCAAAAGTTTAGGTGAGTTACAGAAGTCACTTCAGAAAATCATATGGCAAGGTAATAAAAGAAAATTCCATCAAGGGCTACAAAAACCATAGATGGGCCAGGAAGTCCCTAAACTGCAGATTGCCAGAAGTTGTGAGTTTTGTTGGGGTAAACATAAGAATGTGGATGTTCACTTCTTTTATCCTTTCCTTCTAGCATCCACTACAGCATCCTGAGGTAGGATGCTGAACTAAATGGACCTTTGGTCTGTAATAGTGTAGCAAATCCTATATTGTGCCTTTGTCACAAGCAGAAGAAAACAGCAGCAAAACATCCTCCTGTTTCTTTCCATTAAAGGCACTTCTGCCCTTTTGCTGTATGGAATGAACACATTGCAAAGTATCTTTGTAAAAGCATGAGCACTCGTTCATCTTTGCACCAAATATCCACTTACATGTATTTTTAAATGTACTGGGGCAAATAGCCTCTGATTTTAGATCAGGGCTAGAGGGCTGATTCAAGTGAAAATAACACAGATACACAGAAGAATGGTCACTCCAAAGAGACTGAACTCTGTATGTAACAGGATGCACAGGCTCTGAACACTGCAGGTCAATTTCTTTTTCTTTCAGCATTGACTGTGTTCATGAAAATAAGAAGTAAAGACTTAATGTTTTTCAAGACACTGAAAATTTTAAGCTATTTCTGAAACTGTCTTTAATTCTTTGACTTTCCAAACCAACACATTGTTCAGGAACAAACAGGCAACCACAATTACTGAGCCTTTTTTTTTTTCTTTCCATCAAAATTTTGACACACCAGTTAAAAGGTGAGGTAGAATTCAAGGCTTATGATTTCAGATTTACAGAATATATATATTTTAACAACTAAGAAGTAATACAACTCCCTCCCCTCCCCCGTTTTTCTTCCTGAATGAAAAGAACTACAATATCAAAAGTACAAGCAGAAAAAGTCCCAGCACTTTGAACACAATATATAAAACGTTCATCATGAAGTCTCTCACATACAAGTTTCAGGGGTGGAATTTTCTCATTTAGTTATGATTTTGATAGGGTAAATATATCTTAAATGTACTATTCTTTCATCCTCCCCCTCACAAGATGTCCAACCAATTCAGGGAATTATTCAATTTTATTTTATTTTTGTGCATGTGAAATGTTTAAATTGTGCCTCTTGGCAGAAATCCTCTCCCAGAAGTTTGCATGTTCCCAGTACTTGGCTCTTTCCGTTCTCATTGTTTACCTGTGGTGGATATGGAACCAAATATACTACAGGACATACCATGAACAGCTGCAGCAACAGCACCAACAAAAGCAACATGTGTTGTTGGGCCTTTGGTTTCCAGGTGCTTGAGACACAGCTGATGTTCCTTCATTTTGTGACTGCTGCCTCTTTCTCATTTCAGCTACTTCAGTGCCCAAGTGGCTATAAGAACACAGACATAAGAGATGTACAGTATTACTACAGACCGTCATAAAGTACATTCACATTTCTACAATAACCTCTGATTCTACTGATTCTCACAGCTTGTGGCAATGAAAGCACATGACCATCAACTTTGGTGGCCAAGTCATAGTTCTCCTGTGATAAAAGCAGTTTCCAGAAGACCACATTTTGGTGGCAAGTTTATGCTACTGTGCTTTCAAATCACATCTATTATCACTTTGAGTGGACTAACAGGACTGTTATTACCATGCTGAAAACCAAGCTACACAGCTTGGATAGCACTTGGTAGAGACTGAGTTGTTCATTACCATATGACTATCACAGCTTTTTCCATTTTACTAAAAATATGGCAAAATGGTTATATACTTCAAACATGAGCTGGAAAGTGATCTTATTTTTTAAGCCAGTACTGACTTCGCTGGTCAATGTTGGACCAGAGAAATCAATATAAGTGTTGTAAAAATCATGGGCAGCAATAGCTGTCTGTAAATAATGAGCCAAGATTACTATGTGTCGTAACTGAGATGTTTGCTACTTGAGAGTTATTTTCTGTAAATAAAAGGAATAATAATTATTTACAAAATACTTTTCCAGCTTTGGGACTATTTTCTGGTGACAGATTTTCTTTTGCTCATTGCCAGTCCTTCCTAGATTTTATTAGGCCAAGATATTTTTCTTTCCAGTGACTTGCACTATGCAGCTAGAAGTAATATTCCATACATTACTTTTCAAAAGAAGCTGTAACTTTACTGCCAGATTATGTTATTTAGGAAGGTTTAGATGCCAGGGTCACGTCTTCCTTGTACAACTATTGTTTTCCCAGAGTAAGAGTAAATGCAAATTAGAATAAATTTGGTACTTCTGTCTGAAAAAGTGCAAACATTTTAGTGTGGAGAGCAGTCCAATGTTAAACAGAAGTGGATTGAAGAGAGCCTGGTATGAGCAGCATGTTCTCTGCTCATTGTCCTCAGGCCTCCTGTTGTAGCCAGGTGCTGTGGAAAGTCAGGCTCTGGTTAATTTGCCACCTGTGTACACGATGCACAGGTAATGGAGAGGCGTCTGTACTCCCTCTACATGCATTCAAAGAGCAGCTTTAAGAATTTGCATTTTACACAATTTCTAAAACTCCTGAATTTCTTCTGTAAAAGTGTACTTATAGATAAGTTACACACAACACCTTGTAGCAAGAACATTAAGTCTCAGAGCTTGAACCCATGCTGCAAAACTCAGGGTTGGTGCTCATTTTAGTGTCTTGTGCAGCTAACTTGTTGGTGTATGTTGAAAAACTGAGTAATTTCAGTGTTTTGGTTAAACTGAACAATGAACAGCCATTTTATATTTGTTTCACATAAAATGATTTTGATTTAAGTGGAATTAAATTCCCACCACTTTGGGGACTTTCAGGAATACTTTCAGAATTTAACTACCTGTTTATGCTATTGATATTACTTCTTATGGTTTATAGTTGCTGAATTCTTGAAGATTAAAATTACATTTAAATATATATATATATAATCTATTGTAAATATGTTGTTAACATGGGATACTTTGATAAAATTGAAAGAATGCCCATATTTCTATAGTAGGTAGGAAGGAAAGGAAAGTTGCAGCATAATGTGTAGCTTAGACAGTGACAGCATGGAGCCACTTTCTCCAAATTACAGTGCTGAACTTCTGCTGACTATGCATGATGTAGTTAAATTATTTCATAGATAGCTGTGCCATGCTGTGAATAGTACTTACTTCAGCAGGTGCAATGACTATGGGTAAAGAAATTAAAGCCAGATATTTTCACAGGGAACATTTGCTTCTAACAAAATAGAGATTCTTAAAATATTTCTACATAATCATAAAATGTATTAGTTTCAGAAACCAGTGAGATTACCCATATTTAGGCATTTATAGGGCTGTAATATTGGAATGAAAGCATCCCATGTGATCAACCTCTATACTGATATCATGCATTTCTTACACAATTTTAGCTACATATATAAAATATACTATTACCTTTGTTGAAAAAATGGCTAGAATCTCTTTCACTATAAATACAAGTTGGCAGGATAAAGGTTAGCCATGCAGACATAGTGATGACTGTTGTGACTTTTTTGTACTTTCACAATAACTAACACAGCACAAGCTGCTGCTGCTACTAAGATAGATGACCCTCTGCCTTCGCTTTTGCTGAGCTCACAGCCTCTCATTCCCTTGCTTGAGCTGTCCCATTCTCTGTGCAGGCAGCAGCATTTGTGCAGGCAAATTCACTTGGTGAATTGGATAAAACAGTAGACATGATTAAAAATTAATATAAAGGGGGTGGAAAATAAATTTAACTTGGTTCAGGTCCAAGTTTTGTTCACCTTGGGAAGATGTGAACACCTGGGGTGGAGCAAGGAAGGAAACAGAGCAGTACAGCGCAAACATAAAGAAGGGGAAGTGAGAGTGGGGACTGCTGCTGACAGTCCTTGCTTATGCTGGCATGAAATTATGGTGAAACTGATGGGAGATGTTCTGCTGCATAAAGGTAAAATCCATAACTTTAATTCCCAGTTCACAACCCTGGCCATTATCTGGGGACAGAGGCAGACATATGATTTCACAGGAGTGGTTCAGTGTCCCCAGCCCTGCCCAGCAACATCTACCATTGAAACTTCTTCAGTGTTCACCATTTGATATGGACTGCAATGGCCAACCTTGTCAGAGATTTGCAACTCTGGCAGTATATGGTAGCAACATAAGAGCTGTGAGGAAATGTGCCTTCACTGCAGACTATTTCAGGAGGCATGGTTTTCCTCTAAGGCTACTCATAGCCTACAGACTAGCCAGTCACTAGAATGATACTACGTGCTTTACTATGCTCTGGCTCTGCTCTGGAGTTTGAGGAGGGACATGACCCATCCTGTTCCTTACCATGCAGTCTCCAATCTGAAGTCTATGAGAAACACAAGAAATCCACCCCGCTGTGCAAAACAATAATATGTTTACTGAGGATGAACGAGGATAGGTGGAAACTTTAGTTTCATGCTGATTTTTATTTTAATGTCCAGGTTGCATTTGCGAATATCAGATGTCATCTATGGAAAACTGTAATTGATTCTGTTAGATTACTTAGGATTCAGAAACAGGAACATCCTAATTCTTGGCTGTATTGACAGACTGAACCAGAGACAGAGGATTTATATTTGGCGCCTTGGTACAAGGTATGAAAAAGGAATTTAGAATCTCTAATTCAGCAATTAAGTCTAATGAGATAAATTGTTTTTCTGAAACCAAGTGTGAAAGTTAGTGCATAACTACAAAGGAGTAGAATACTGTGAAAAGATATTGAGAACACCTTATAGGATAGTAATACAAAATGTATCTACTATCCCCAAGACTTTTACTTTTTAGGTTTTTCAACATTTTCATTCTTCTCTAGCTTGACAATAATACCTGGTTGTGAAGGTGGACCTTTGTCCAGTAGAAGTATTATTTTCCTTGATACTCTATATGATCTCTCAGACCATCATAACACAGCTTGAAGTTTCCTCTGCCAGTTTTACATCTGATTCTTTGCCTCCATTTCATGGCATAGTTTACTACCATTGTTATGATTTACCTTTGTGCTGATCAGAAATCAGAATAGTATTCTATTTTGCTTGACTGACTCATTCTATTGGGGGTAAGTAGGTATTATGGCCCTCTGAGCAATACCATAATCATGGAGGATTTAATTCTGCGCATCTGCTTCCCCTACCCTGCAGCTGAGGAAAGGAACCCCAGGGTATAGCAACTGTTTATTATACTTGTTACAGACAGGTAGTTCATATAAACTGCAAAGCAAGAACATTTCTACAGCCCTGTGAACATCCTCAATGCTCCAGTGTAAGAGGAATATGAAACTAAAAAAACCCTTAGAAATTTTAAGTTTGGAGTAAGGCTTCCTGTTAGTTGTGGAACCGTTGGCACAAGGATCTATTTCTGTTTATATGGTGTAATTACTACTTACTCCACTGGGTACTCAGGAGTAATTATTCGAGAAATTCCCTTGTGCACAGAAAGAGTATCTTGGGAAGAGAGCTCAAAAAGGAATAGCTGACAGAACATTTGGTTTATTACATTTATACCCGGGCAGTTCTATTGAATCCTAACTGCAGTAATTTCAAAGTCTACACAGTGCTTCTTGAAGATGAAAAGAAGGCAATTTCTGAATGTTTCCACCTCCCCATTCCTTCATCTTCTGTAGAACTTATGCTAAGCTTTCAGAATGGTTCCCCCAGAAAGTCCCAAGGTGTTCAACACAGCACAGAACACAGTCTACATTATTTCAGTGACTGTAGTGAAGTCTATTTTCTGATTAAATAAGAATATATATATATATATATTTCTTCTCTGACCTCAAAAGCCTGACATTAGTACCTGAAAATTACCTGAACTTTACTTTTGGCACTGACACATCCAGCCCTCTCTGCTAGTGTTGCAGCTTTCCCCTGCATATGACTCTCCTATAAGCATTTCTACTCTGAGGATTGAGAGGGCATACCATGGAGCAGTTCAGATGCTGGGAAGTCATAGAAGCATCTTGAAACTCCATTAGGGACAGATATTTTTTGATCATATCTTCTCGAGCCATTCCCTAATGTCTGTTTGGAAAAAGAGATATCATATAAGGGTGCAGATAAACACACACCATCATTTTCTACAGCAGGCAAGTGGTATTATGTCTTTTGTTGCAGGTAGGACACATAATGACTTAGCTTTCAGGACAGAATTGGAACAGAATCAGTTAGAGCAATCTGTCTTTTGTCAAACTTCTTCAATGGAAGAGAAAAAAAATCATGTTTCATCAGAAAGAAGCAGTCAATGACTTCAGGATATTGAAGGTGATTTATTCTGCAGGCTAGTAACCTAGCCATTAAAATACTTTCTTTGGGTGATCTAGCACATCAACTCTTCTGCATTGCTTTGCTTCTTTTAACGTTGACGATAGAGCACCAAAAGCTCAGCTGCATAGCTTGCAAGAATTTAAACTTTATATCAGTTTATACTAGTCCCAGATGCAACTCTACTGATGCTCACAGATGCTTGTGTTGTTCCTGAGATGCAAGGACAACCACCACACAGCAACAGTCTTTTATTTCTGCTGTCTTTATTCTAGAGTGTCTTCAGTGTGCCACAAGCTAAATGAAGATGGACTGGAAGACTTTATTGAATGACTGTGAACTATAAAGTTTTCCATACACCTCTGGCAATATTTGATGAATAGTGAAGTCAAGACAGAAGAGACATGAACATCCTTTGAATTGCCCCTCACCACCTATAAAATCTTCATAGAGCAATGGCAATCATACTCTACCCAAGAGAACCTTGACACGAATACATTGTCTACTTTGCCACTGGGTCATGATAACCACTCAATATTTCACAAATAAATGAATATAAAGTAATAGAGAAGGAAAAGCTTACCAGAAGGAGAAGTGTAATTGAATTACCGTGGGCTCCATTTACTTATTCCAATGTATTTGTAGTCTATTAAAAGACAATTAGAAGTTATTGGTAAAATGGAACTTTAATTGCTTTGAAAATGCTTACTTGGAAAATGCCAATTAATTCCAGCACTATGGAAAGTTTGAAATGCTTGTATTGTTAAGAATGGTAATTTTTTGGAAGGAAAGATCAAACCAAGGGGAGGAGAATTGAAGACCCAAGTGCCTCCAGCAAAATATCTTGCTCTTCTATCAGTTACTGCAACTTAACAAGAAGATTCAAGACCTGTACATCTTTTCTGTGCAGTTATCTTTCTCCTGCTCTGGCAATGTTTGACTCTTTCTAAAGTCGTTCAGAAGATCACAAACTGGACATTCTGTCCAGTGATGGAAGGAGAAGAAAAAGAAATTGTGTGGACACTTGGCAGAAAATTTTCAGACATTGTGCATTTTATTAGAATACAACACTGCTCCGTGAGTGTTCATTTAACCTGAAACTGTGCAATTTGGCTGAACATTATAAAATTTTTGCCTTGTGCAGAGTAATATTCTTTTTATGACTTTGCCAGACAGCTTCTGTGCTCATAAAGGATGTCTGAGATTTCTTTTTATTGTTGTATGGTGAACTTAGTATCCTTAGGAAGCCCAGCTTAAATCTCTACAATCTCATCAAGTAGATATGCATTTGTACTTTTGAATCAGAGGTTACTGCTAAGAAACAAAACATCGAGCCTGACAGCAATGCATTATTGAAAAGTTTGAGATGCCTACATGTGGTTTTTAAGGAACTGTTCTAAAATTATGATCAAGAGCACTCTACAGCCTTCAGGAACATTTTTATAAAAAGCAAATGTAACACTCATCAGGAAACCTTTTATCTTTTTTAAGCATATTGCTTTATTTATGTGTGTTTGAGAAACATCTGAGAATCTCATTTTATGCTATATATATACCTATTGTTTGTGGCTAGCATGGTTGCCACTGATTTGGACACATCAAGCCACTACACTTTTGAAAACTGAAAAGATATTCTCCTCACAGGGAGGAAATACAGATCTTGACATATTGCTAAATAATTAAAGAAGTGTTTGTTGAAGTCCATGACATTCCCTATAAAGGGGACACTAAGAAGACACTTGAGAAAACGTACAGCTTTACTGCAAGCATTAGGGTTGTAATTTCCAAATAAGTTTTTCTATGCTTAAAGCCAGTTTTGTGTGTGAAAGAAAACAAAAAAAAACAAAAACAAACAAACAAAAAAACCACACACACACACAAAAAAAAAAAAAAAAAAAAAAACAGAAGTAATTTTTGGGGATATGTGAACTGCATAGATTCTCTACAGTCTTCAGCAGAAATTTAAGAAAAATCATAGGACCAGTACAAGCATTGGTACCAAATGTAGGGGAAAAATATTTGCATGTACAAGGCAAGTATCCAACAAGCTTTAGTGTTGGTTGACTACATTTTCTGCACATAAGACCATTCAGATAGATTTCCGTAGGCAGAAATGGCGGCAATTTTGCATAAATGACTACAGCATTTAATCAAATAAATGCACAAAACTTTCATTTAGGGTGCATGTGCTACTACAGGCTGAAAAACAAAGAAGGCATTAAGGAAATGGTTTTAGGGCGAAAACAGATTTCATGAAATCACTTTGGACATGGTCCTAGTCTCTGAGGTGAAAAAAATCTACATTCTTCTCTGTAGAATGAACACTTGTGCTCTGTACTTCTTAATCACCTTTATTATTATTATTATTTAAAATTATCTTCAGAAATGGAAGTTGAAGCTTGAGATAGAAGTAGCCTCCAAAAGGGTTCTGTAGCATAGGTCTTTTGAAATAATGAGATTTGCTCATTGTGCTGACTTTAGGTTCACTGACTGACTTCTGAGGTATACTCTGACAGGATCTTTGTGACAGGATCTTCAGCCTCCCTTCCCTCAGACACCCTCAAAAGAACAAATGAATAAATAAATAAATAAATAAATGAGAGAATAGTGTGACAGGGAGAAGGTATTTGGTTAACACAGAAAAACAAAACAAAACAAACAAACAAAAAAAAACAGGGAAATTAACAGACAGTGGCATGTGGGAGAAACAAGTTTAGGCATGTAGCATTGCGCTGGATGGCTTGGCATAGTGGGAGAAGGTTAATACAAGCACACCCTGTGGATAGGCTTGATGGGAGCCAGATGCAGCAAGTAGCCGCCAGTAAAAGGCAGCGGCAGATTATCCTCATGCTCTCCATATATCATAGCACCTGTGAACTTTATGACCACAGAACTAAGGACATACTTACCCTTGACAGGTAGTGCTCAGGCTGTGTGCATACACATCAGCTCCTTCCTGGTGCAGTTAGCATCCCCACTTCCCTCCAATCTATGCTACTTCTGTTGAACTTGTTGCAAGCTCCTGATATGTCTGGTCCTCCAGTTGGTGCTAATATTTGCTAACTTGAAGGAGAGGAGACTTCTACTTGGTATAGAGGACATGATCTTTCCCACTACGCTGGCTTTTGGATCCACAGCAGTTAAAGCCTCAGCTCTTTCTACTGCACAGTGCTATTGGCATGGTTCTTGGTTCTACCTTGCTTGTTTTTCATTCATTTACCTTCTTACCACCTCCAGACAACAAATTTATGTTGCCTTTTCTGACTTCATCCTTACCTGTTAACCCCGTTTCAAGAGTTTCTGCAGGATATGTGTGAGGCTATTCTATTAGTAATGTTTCTATTACCACTCCACAGTTGCCTTTGTTTCCTTCTCCTCCACTCTCACCCCATGTCTGTAACTACTTTAAGTGACCTGTAGTCCATGGTAGCTTGGGCTTTTGGCGTCTAGCCCTTGGTGTGGGTAACCATTTGCTCACCTGCATAGCAGCTCCAGATTTGTGGCAGTTCTATTTCTCATCATTCCTACAGTTAAATCTCTGCCATGTCAAGCTCTTCATTACGTTTGACTCTCATAGGCAGGTCTTGGCATACCAGTTTGTGCAGGGCTACAATTAACATCCAATAACGTACACAGGATAATTCAGCATGACACAGGAAGGATCTTTTCCATCCATTCTTTATCATCTGTCAATCTCTTGGTTATCTTTACTGCTGACAAGATCTTTTTGTGGTTTTCTTACTGTCTGGGTAAAGATGATTTGTACTAACTGATGCTAGGACTGGTGCTATGCCATGGGTGCAATAATATCATCGCATGAGGTAAGAGGATAAAGCACTGAGTGCTTTGCAAGGAAAAAATTCTAATCACAGTTTTGACTGTGTATCTTCCAGGCTGCTAACTCATTTTGGGGATATGAACTAACAGTAATTCGTATAATTAAAGACACACAGATGTGTTCTTGAATCCTTCCAGGCTTGGCTGCAACTTACTTAACACTTCTTCTTATTTAATTGTTATGCTTTTATCAGGGCTATATAGGTCATTATTTTTCAGTTTAGAGAGATATATTGATTTTTACCTGAATGGCTCTGCTGCCATGACTTTTTTAGATTGTAGCATTAGGATGAAATATACCATCATTACCCCAATCTTTGCAATAAATTGTAATCAAATGTTCCTCGAATTTTGTGTTTTTAAAATTAGGGAATCTTGCATAATTTCAAAAATTGCCATGGTTCTTATAAGTTCTCCTGCCAATTATCTTCTTGTCTTGTAATGTGTCTGTTCTCTGTGTTCCTAGGTGCTAGGTAAAACAAATAGACAAACAAACAAACAAAACCAAAACCCTCCTTTTTTTTTTTTCTTTTCCTTTTTTTTTTTCCTTTTTTTTTTTTTTTTTTTTTCCCTTCTCCCTGTTACTCAGTATCAGGCACTATTACTGACAAGGATGTCTCAGACTTTTTCCATCTCCCTTTTCTCCTCCCTACAAATAATATAGCAAAGCTTTGTCCTCATTTCCTCATCCCTTTCTGCAGAAGCAGCTATTGCTTCCACGGTTGGAGAATGCTTGTAGTCTGAACGCATGCATTTCCACTGGTCTCACTGTCTCCTGGTACTTCCTTTCTCTGTGTTGGATGCTGCTTTCCTGTTAGTCACACATCCCTCGTAGTGACTCTCACTTTACCATCTGCTACTTCCAAGTTTCATGTCCTACATATAGGTCACATGAGGGGATTCCCTACTTATAAAAAGAATAT